TAATCCTCCTGCATCTATGAAGAATACTATTTGTCACAGAATTTAAAATATATATATATATATATATTATTTTATATATAAAATGGCCTCCCGATATAAAAAAATATGTATTTTATTTTTCTCCCATCTTGCATTATCTTACTATTTGGCACCAAAAACTTATTCATCCTATTACAAATTACTTCTATGATATTTAATTTTTTTTTCCTATGTAGATATAATTATATACCATATTGTACATATATGAATGTTTGTGTATATGGTGAAAAAAAAAAATTCTTTTGGCCCCTCAAGTAATGAAATCCTGGTTCCGTCTTTGTCCTTACACAATCAGTTCTTTCATGTTAAGGGAAATTCTATTATCCATTCCCTTGAAAGAGGTGTACTATATGTATCCCTACTTATGCTATTTTTTTTCTTTAGTTATAATTAATTTTTATTTTTCATTTATGATAATATTTTAATAATAACTCATAAGATTTTTTATTATGCCTCATTTAGTGTTTGGTTATGACTTCTTTTTTTTAGTTATGACTCAAAAAATATAAAATTATGTCATTTTCTTCTTTAATTATAAATTGCACATGCTATATATCATTTGAGGGTTGTATACCATAGTATTTCTATTAATTTAGAAAAAAAATTAAGATCATAGAAAGTTTCAAACACAGAATGCACAAATATGACATATATGTTCACATCTATAGATGTAAATACAAATGCAAATATTTTTATCTCAAATTAATGTATTCTGTGTTCAGAATGTTTTTGTATTTTTAGCACGTGCCATTAATCTATCAATCTATAATTTTCTCACATTTATTCAATATTGTATAAGAAAGATGATAAAATATGAATTTTGTGTTGTTAGAATTTCGGGCATTTTTTCCCAGCAAGAGGTGGATGGGATGTTGATTTGGCACTTAAGAACAAATTTTTGATTCTACACTTGCATGTAATCATTTTTTACTACTATGATTAAGATTGTGGAATTGGAATGCTTTTAGATGATAAAATCATTCCAAAAATGCAACTGCATTAAGTTCAGGAGTGTAAACGAATCAAATTCATTGTAGGAAATATCAGTTTTGGAGGCGTACATTTAACGGTGTTTTTTAAAACGCCACTGTTCGTAATATTTAACGGCGTTTCATAAACGTCGCATTTTTCTCTAATCAAAATGGCACCGTTTCATGAATAGAAGACGTCTATAAACGCCTTGAAATGGCTTTGTCCCACACGCTCCCTCTCCCTCTTTCACCTTTATTTTGAATCTGACTCTCGCTCTCGCTCTTACTCTCACTCTCTTTCTCTCTCTTTCTCTCTCAAAATCGAAATCGATTCAGATCGGTGACAGCAAACTTGTGAGCGTTCATCAGAGCCATTTCCAAGATCTTACATCGGTGATTCATCAGAGCCATTTCGAAGTTCTCTCTCAAAATCGATTCAGATCGGTGAATCGATTCAGATCGGTGAGCGACTGTCTCTCTCTCTCTTTCTTTGCTATCTAAACCCTAATTATTTCTGTCAGTTCAGCTCTGTGATTCAGAGATTCAGCTCGGTCTCAACGAAACAGATCGGTGATTCACCAGAGCCATTTCAGTTCTCTCTCGAAATCAAAATCGAAATCGAAATCGAATTTCATCTTAGCAATTCAGATCGGTGAGCTCCATTGTCTCTATCTCTATCTGTCTCTGTATCTCTCTCTCTAAAAAATTCTTGTTCAATTTTTTGAATTGAAAAAATGATGTAGGCTGTTCTATATCTATTTGAAACTTTTTTTTTTCAAAATATACGCCTCGAGAATGATTTTTTTCCTCCTGATGAAGATAATTGCGCATTTTACCTTTTTGAGTCATATGGTTTAGATTTTACAAACATGCCAATTGATGTGATTTCCCAAAGGGACTGAATGAATGACCTGGGAAGGAAAATCTAATGTTTGAGACATTGTTGCTTTCTGCATTGCCTTATTGATTCCTTCACCTCGGATCAATTTTCTGGCTGCGTTTCACCCCTGACGCTTCATAATTGATTTTACAATGTGTTAATTTGTTCCTGCAGTAATTGAAATGCTTCAAGTTTACTTCTTGTCACCTATACGAATGTTATACAAGTGTATATTTGGTGTCTTTCATTGTGTCTGAATTAATTGAGATGTTATCTGATGTGCAGAAGAGGCAAACAGCTCTATTCTCAGCTACCCAGACTAAGAATGTATTTCTGTACATGCTTTTATTGTTTCCTTTGTTTATTTAGATTGTAAACATACATTGTTTTGAACTCAATATTTTTTTTATTTATCAATTTCTCTGAATTCTTTTCTTTATAGAAACTCTCACAGTGAATAAAATTCTGACAAGACTTTCCTAATTTTGTTGCTTGAACATTGCAAGTGTTTCTAACACCAAAATTATAAATTCTGTGTTTACAGAAGCTTAAGCAGAAATATTTATAAATTTTCAGGTTGAGGATCTTGCTCGGTTATCATTTTAAACAACTCCTGTCTATATTGATGTGGATGATGGACGGAAGAAGGTAAATTAATCGTTGGAATTTATTCAGTGTGTTGTGATTTTCTTCAGTCCTCGCTTCTAGAACCTGATAAGATGTCTGCTATTATAGGTCACTAATGAAGGGCTGCAGCAAGGTTATTGTGTTGTGCCAAGTGCCAAGAGATTTGTTCTTTTGTATTCCTTCTTGAAGAGGAATCTCTCAAAGAAAGTGATGGTTGTCTTCTTTTCATGTAACTCGGTCAAGTTCCACTCTGAACTTCTCAGATACATTCATGTAGATTGCTTTGATATCCATGGAAAGCAAAAGCAGCAGAAACGTACATCCACTTTTTTTGACTTCTGCAAAAGCAGAGAAGGGCATCTTATTATGTACTGATGTTGTTGCTCGCGGTCTTGATATTCCTGCAGTGGTATGTTACTTTCTTTTGCTTGTTGGTGTTGAATATGGTATGCCAGCAATGATAGTCCTCAACCCCAAACAGAAAGAAAAAATGAGGAAGGGATTTATAGCAGTTAAAAACTTTTGTACCTTTAGATGATAAATGAAATTAATTCTGCCAAGCATGCCATGGTGATGTCTGCTGTTAGTTGGCATTGCTGTGAAATTTTATTTTTCTATATATTTCAGTTAACTCTGTATAAAACTGTTTACAAGCATCTAATTTACTACCATGAGATGTATGACAAGGTTGCAAAAATTGTCTACAAGGAACACTGGAAAAGTACCAATTGTTATGACTGAACTATTTCATTTCAAGATGGAATCTACAATAGTTCATGTTGATTCATTTTCTTTATCTTCTCTACTAATAGGACAGGATTTTGCAGTATGATCCCCCAGATGAGCCCAAGGTGCTTAACTTTTTTCCTTCGTTAAAACAGAACATCGGATGGATCTTTTTATTTGTTATATTGTCAGTGACGTCATTTTTGCTACTACATTGAATACTTTTGTTAGATTTGCCTTCTCTAAATACATCTAAACGTTTCAGATGCTGAGGGAATGTAAAGGGTTTTTAAATGTAATGATGGTGTGTACCTTGAACAAAAGGATCAGATTAACAAAAAATGATAGTGAACTCAATGGATTTGTACTCTGTATGTGTTACGTAGTTGGCCATCATGATGTTTTATTGCACTAGAAGAACTAGAATAATGCTTTATGTTGGGGATAGAGTACTAACATCAGATTAGCAAGTGTTCTACTGCTCTAGTTAGTTAGTGTGAGTGTATTTTTGGATCAATTAATGCTTTATGTTGTCCATAATTCTAATTTGTGCGTAACTACTTAATCAAGCATATATAACTTTAGAGGGTGTCATTTTCAGCTCTTGCATAAGAAGAGGTTAGTCTGTGAGTATTTGAAATTTATTTGATTTCTGTAGGTTACCATTAAATGTATTAGTATTTTAGCTAATCATGAAAAAAAATCATTGACTTTCATGATTTTCTTGTATGGTGGGATATGTACTTGATAATTGTTGTGATAAGAGTTCACACTTGATTTGGTCTGGAAGTAGTATGGTTTCAATTTCTCAATAGCGTTTTTGTTTTTATTTTTTCTTACATCTGAAACATGCCTTTTAAGTAGTTTAAGATGCACAACCATGGGAAGTTGAATGAACTGTGAGGGAAAGAAAAGGTGGTAGTACAAAGTTGTGGCCTAGCAGTTGGTAGGTAGCATAGTGCTAGAATTTAGTGTTGGAAAATCAGAAAATTGTGTCACTAGGCAGTTTCTCTAGTATTTCAATTCTCTTGTTGAGCTTTATGTTGAAGTTTTAGGTAATCCTGATTTGACATGTTTTTTAACTTGATTAGTCAAGGTGTGTGCCAACTAGTCCGTCCAAATACCCGATTATGAAAAAAGAAGAAAAAGTCCTGATTTGGGCATGTTTTTCAGCTTGAGATCAAATTAGTTGGATTGTTTTCTTTAAGCAACATTTGGATTAGATATGAGTATGAAATTAGCAGGAATTGTGTAGGAAGTTGTCTTTGGAAGGCTTGATTCTCTGTACCTGACCTGTACCTTATAAAACTTCTATTGAAAAATTTTAGACTTTCTTTTCTGCCCAGTGTTGCATCCCTTATTCCAATTTGCCCATAGTAGCTTTAGGCATGTTTGCATCCCTTGTTCCAATTTGTTTTCTTTAGGCATGTTTGTTCCAATTTGCTTATAGTAGCTTTAGGCATCTTTTTCTTTTCCTTTTACGTTATTTTGTATAATTTTTACTTTCTATAATTTATTTCTTTTTAATCAAAGTATAGGAATTTAGTTGGATTTGCAACCTTTAATTGAATTGGGCTTGTACAGTTGTTTAAATGGGTATTTCAAGCTTCAATGATCTTGTATTCTCTTTCCTGTTTTTTTATGGGTTTTGTAGCCTCTTCCTTGGATTTGAGTTCATGAATACTCTCTCTTGTGTGAAATTGATCATACGTTGAGTTCATAAATTATCAGTTTGGATGACTTTTGGATTATTTCAACTTTGGAATGCAGCTAAACTCAACAAAAGTCTTTGTCCCAATTACTTCGGGTTAACTAAAGGGATCCATTTCCACCAATTGTTTCTATTTGCAATCTTATCAATCTGTATCTGGGAGATTGGGAACAGAATGTCATGCTTCCCTGAACTGCATGAACTTTGATTAACTCATTCATTATGCTCTCCGCTTCTCTCCTTCTATTGACAACCTTGGGAAGGTTAGAACTTTTGTCTCTCTTGCCACTGTTAAGATTGTAGTAGAGTTCTTTTTCACACACACAACTCTCAAATTGTTGTGAAACATATTGAATTGCAACATATCTCTCTCACACTATGATTCTTTTTACTATTCTGATTTACAGGTTGATTCTTTTGCTGTTGCTCGTGACAATGAAATGCATGAAGCTACACGTAGAATCTTATCAGTGTTATTACGGCAGGTATAACAATTTTGCTAAATTTTCCTGAATGATATTATTGTCACTGAAGTTTGCACTATTCTGTCTAAAATGTTATTCTCCCAGTTCATACTATCCAAAGAACCTCGAACACCTTGCAACTTACTGCCTACTATTCCCTTCAAAAGTGGGATTGTGCTATCTTTTTCTCAAATTTCGTTGTTTGTCATGTTCTTTGAATACTTTCGGGAAATGATAGATGTAATCATTCTCTGGTAGCATGTGTTAAACTAAATAGGATATAGTTGAATTAGATAGTTTTTGCTGTGGCCTTAGTAAATTTTACTCTTCTGGTGCAGATTGATGGATTTGAGCAGGAGAAAAAAAGTGGTGGTCATTGCTGCAACCAACAGAAAGCAAGACCTTGATCCTGCTTTGATTAGGTATACCAGTGCACATTTTCTTATATGACGGTTATATGCAGAATTGATTCAAGGTTTACTAACATACGTTTCATTCATTTCTGTCAGTTGATTTGATTCTATGATCACCTTTGGCTTACCAGATCAGCAGACCCGTCAGGAAATATCGGCTCAGTATGCAAAGCACTTGGCAAAATCTGATTTAGCTGCATTTGCCAAGGTTACTGAAGAGTAAGTTTGAAATATCCAACTAATTTATCTCGATCATGCCATTACTTGAGTGAAACACATCATTAATCACCACTCTCCCCCCACCTCCCAACCATCTCTCTATTTTTGGGGTTTGTTTTTTCTCCCCCTTTTTCTGAATGTTATTTTGTCTGTCTAACTTGTGACCGGATCTATTAAAGAACTCGAACTTCTTCAAAGACAAAAGGCTGCCTCTGAACAAGTTGCCTTGAGTGCAAAACAGAGGCAGAGCTCGGGCGGCATGTAGGGTTGGCTTGCCGAATCCCCTCCTAGCCAAGATGCCAATGACGCCTAAAAATTCGAACCCCAAATACACAGTAATTCCTAGTTTTGGAACTCAAAATCAATTTAATTTTTTTCCCCATTTAAAGTATGTTTTTTTCTTAACCCAGTTCTTTTCAGATATGGAAATAAGATATTCAGTTTCTCTTTGCTAGAGGGAATATGGTAGGTTTACATGTTTGTAATTAGAGACATGAACATGTTTAACTGCTGGAGACATTTTTTGTGGAAGAAATAGTTTCTAAGAAGAGCTTAGTAATTGGAGACATAATCATTGCCAATTAATCCTTCATGATTAGTGGTTAATTGGCTATTTATGTTACAGGCTGTAGTTGCAGTTTTTAGTGCAGAACCTTGGACAGTGCCATGTGCAGCAAAGACCATTCTGCAGGTAAATTATTTTTTCATTTATTGTATAGTTGTTATTTTTAGGGATTTCATAGTTTATGTACTAAACAATTTGATGTTCTCAAACTAGCTAGTGTCTTTCTTTCTTTAAAACCCTTGTTCATTATCTCATTGGCATTTCTGCGAGAATCGCGGTGTTTCTCCTCTCTGTCCCCCTGCTTTTGTTTCCTCTATGCTATATTATTGTACTTAGATCACTTTTCTAAGATTTTCCTACTTTATTCTATAAGAAGAAAAATCAACTCTGTTCCTTTATTTATTCATTCCCATATTAGTTTGTTTTTATGTTTTTTTTTTTTTTTCATCAGAGAGTCAAGAAATGGAATATGCAACAAAACCACCTTCAAATATATCAGACATTGTCTCCAAATTTGCCAAAGTTTGCAGATTTAGATCCATTGATGTCTTCTCCACTGAAAATCCCACCCACAACCACCAACCTATCAATGATTTTGGCAACAATGTCCCATCATCGGAAGACAGCAGTGATGCCACGGAAGAGGCAGAGTGCAACATTGGGAAAATCCATCCCAACCCAGTTGAGATTCAACCGAAAACCACTGAATGTGTTAACATGGAGATCTTGAAGTTGTGTCATCTGCAATTGTGTCTCGTTGAATTTGTTATTTGACATATTTGCATTATATTTGTGTGATATAATATTTTTTTTCCTTTTATTTTTTGGTTGTGTTTGTTACTTGATTTTGGTTTAGAATAATTATGCAATGTTTATCTAAATTTAGTTAATATATTGAAATAGCAGCAATGCTGTATCCATATTATTGTTATTTTAAGTTTTATTACAGATATTTTTTTTTAGTTAAATCTAATAGAATTAGCACAATTTCAAAAAAAAAAAAAAAAGAAGCTATAACGGCGTTTTCCCAAACGCCACTACAGTACCAACGGTCATATTTTTAAAATAATAAAAAATCTATTACGTCATTTTTAAAACGTCGCTAAATACTAAGTGACGTCATTTTATTGTCATTTACCACATTTAACGGCGTTTTTAAAAATGCCATCTATACTAATATAACGACGTTTTTAAAGCGTCATAATGCTATAGCGACGGCCGCGTCTTTGACGTTTGTACTAAACGTCGCAAAAATAATTAGCGGCATTTTTTATACCTATAGCGGCATTTTTTAAACGCCATCAAATGTGAAATTTCTGGCAGTGATTATAGTTCGGTTTTAAAGTAAATTAGGAACTAAACTTTTGGAATTGATTTTAGAAGAATTAGAATTGTAACCGAATCGTTGAACTATGGAATTGGATCAAAATCGAATTATAGAAACTGGTTGGATTTGATTCGATTTTACGATTCTAAAAATTTTATATAACAATAAATATGATATATATATTTTATATTAGTAAACAAATTAGGTTAAGTTGGTTACGGTTAATCAATTTCACAATGTAAGTTACTTTTCAAATCTTACAAGTGACTTTTTATATTTTAATTTTTACGAATAAAAATATGAACGAATAACAAATAAATATATCACGGTTCGATTTGGTTTAGAACCATAACCAAAGCCTTGGAACTAAAAACCGGACCGATTTGAACGGTTGCACCATTTTTGTGATACCCTTGTTCCGTGGTATGCTAATTGGTCATTAATTTGAGTATGAATATGTGATTAATATGATTTTGTGTGCCATTATGTGAATATATGTGGTTTTGAATTTCTATCTGTTCACCGTAGGAATATCTATTTGACTATTTGCTTTGGAAATTAAATTGAGGGCCTTATCGGCCACAGAACCCGAAATTGATTGCGTCATTGTGATTGGCATAATTTTTAGAGCCTACGGTGAAATTTAATCGAAATCCTTAATATGAATGTGATTATGTGTTTTGACTGATTTTTGTGCACCATTATGTGAAAATATGTGGTTTTGAATTTCTATCTGTTCACCGTAGGAATATCTGTTTGACTATTTGCTTTGGAAATTAAATTAAGGGCCTTATCGGCCATAGAACCCGAAATTGATTGCGCCATTGTGATTGGCATAATTTTTAGAGCCTACGGTGAAGTTTAATTGAAAAATTCATTCGGACTAGATTAAGTTGATTAAATTGGTGAATTAGTGCCTAACTATTTAAAATTATTAATTATGGCTAGTAGGATTTGTTGTATTTGAGCACTATACCCTCATTTCTCTCCTTTAGCTTCACTTGGGCTGATCAAACTCTAAGAAAAAAAGAGGGGCCGGCTGTTAGAGAGAGAGAGAGAGGGAGAGAATTGTGTAATTTTTGACTCAAGCTTGGGAATTTGAAGTCTAGTTCAAGAATTAACCATAGATTGAGTTTCTAGGTAAGCATTGTTTCTTGAATTCATGAGTTTAAGGTGTAATCTTGTGTGTTCAAAGTTAATTTCTGGTCAAGAGCATGTTTTGAATTTGTTTTGTTGAATTGGAAGACCATATATGCATGCATGTATGTAATTGGTTGGAATTTGCATAATTGAGCTTGAATTACATGATTCATGTTGCAATTTGGTTGAAATCCATGTAAATTTGTAGTTGAAGCTCATGTGTAATCACCATTGGTATCATCTAAGTTAAGAATGGGAGCTAGACATCACATGCATGTACAATCTATGAAGATAAGAGCTTTGAATGCATAAATGTGTATGTTAGAATTGAGTTTGGTGTCAATTTGAGCCATGCATGTGTTAAATCTTTGAAATTGAGCTCCATGATGATGTGTTTTGGTGTTTATACCATGTTAGTACAAGTATGTGTGGAATTGGAGCTATAAAATGCATGAATTGTTGGTTGAGAGTCGAATTTGAACTCAAGAACATAATCTGGGAAACCCAGAATTTTGATGTCAGCTCGAGCGGGGTAATGGATGCTCGAGCGGGAAATACGTGCTCCCAGTACTTTTTTGCAGACTTGGTGTCCGCTCGAGCGGGATATTTCACGCTCGAGCGTGGAGCTTTGTAGACAGGCCTTCCGCTCGAGCACCCTATTTCACGCTCGAGCTTATTTTTCATGCAATCAGTACTTTTGCAGGCCTTAAAGGTCTGCTCGAGCAGGGTAGTCCACGCTCGAGCGGGGACCCTGTCTTCTGAGATTTTGTTTTCACATTCTTTGTTTCGTTTTCCGTTCTCTTTCACTTGCAAGCGCTCTTAGGCATGTGTTAAACATTGTAAATGAGTTAAAGAGATAAGAATAAAGCCTAGAGAGGAAAATGTGAATTTAGAACGGATTGGATTGTTAGTGACCCTTTTGTGTTCATGGAATGTGTAGGGTCGAGCTCCAGGACAAATCCGCAAACCGATCACTGTGAGTAATATCTGAAATACATATTGTTGTCAAATTGCTTACTTATATGTAAGTTTTGTAAAGCTCATTAATTTTGAATGGTGGACAAAGTTTGAAAGGCTTAAATGCCAGTTCGATATGACAAGTATGAAAGGCTTAAATGCCAGTCTGATATGACAAGTTTGAGAGGCTTAAATGCCAGTTTGACATAACAAGTTTGAAAGGCTTAAATGCCAGTTTATTATGACAAGTTTGAGAGGCTTAAATGCTAGTTTGACATAACAAGTTTGAAAGGCATAAATGCCAGTTTGATATGATAATTTTGAGAGGCTTAAATGCCAATATGATATGACAAGTTTGAAATGCTTAAATGCCAGTCTGATATGACAAGTTTGAAAGGCTTAAATGCCAGTTTGATATGACAACTTTGAGAGGCTTAAATGCCAGTCTGATATGACAAGTTTGAAAGGCTTAAATGCCAGTTTAATATGACAAGTTTGTAAGGCTTAAATGCCAGTTTGATATGACAAGTTTGGAAGGGCCGAAAGGCCAGTCTGATACGAAAGTTTGATAAGGCCAAAAAGGCCAGTTTGACATGAATGAATTGGGCCAAAGGCCGTCTGTTGTATAATGTTCCAATGTATTTTCTTTATTTGATATTATTCACTAGGCTTCCACTCACGCTCATTCATTTGTTTGTAGGTGAGCCAAGAGAGGTCTAGACCCAGCCCCAGTGATGTCTGTATGGAACAACCGAGTTTTGAAAAGTCAACCTACGTGTCTCACGCATGAGACTCGCCTTCG